TATTTTTTTGTTTATTTGGATTTTTATCGAGGTTTTGGTAGTGGCGAGCTCCACGTTCTTCCGTCAACAGGGGTCTTAACTAATCGGTGACGACTTACTTAACGAATGTTTCTCAATTTTTTAAGTCGCGCATCGGCATTTAGGTGCATACATCCTGGGGGCAAGAAGTCTATTTGATATTTATATTTTAATATACACGGGCCGATTATATTTAGTGTATTGTAATTATTGAATATTAATTGAAAGCCCCGGGGGCTGCTCGTCCAGCGGTACGATAGAGTCATTAATTTACTTTTGGAGCAGCAGTATAAAACATTAAAAGAAGGAACGAACATGGAAAAACGAAATACATAATTCGACGGACGAGCAGGTCGCCGGGGCAAGAACCACGATTTTCTGTATATTACTGTAGTATAATAATCAAACACTAAAGACTAATGCTTAAGGTGATCGATAAGAGCCTCCGACGCTCTTCGAAGCCGCGTAAGTGTAATCGAGAAATTATGCAAACTAAACGATTAAAAAAGCAAACAAAAAAGAAAAGAGTGCAAGAGAAATAAAAAGAAAGAAACGAATAAACGAAAAGAAACACACATATACATAAAAAAAAAGATAATAATAAAACGTTTCAATTAAACGACAGAGAAAGAAAGAGAAAAATACACACATCGGTACCAGGCATCACTATGTTTTAAATGGTTAATAAATGCAGATGTCCGTGTATTCGCTCGGACACTTTTTCAACTGAATTTTCGCTGTCCTTTTACGGCTGTATTATTTTGTCAAACGCTCTTTGTCTCAAACCCTTGTTTCTTCGTTTTACTTTGCTTTTCGCGCGCTATGGCCGCGACTCAAACCTGATTCCATTGCAACGTCGACGTTCTATCGACGATCAATGGATCATCGCTATGATATTCCTTCGTATCTGTTCTACCCTTTCGTCGACGAACGGTATACGAAAATAGAAACAACATGGTGTCCTGTGTTCTTGCCGTACGCGTAAGAGCGAGCACGTCGCAGAGTCGGTCTGTACGCCGTACGCGGACATCGGAGTTACCGGTTCTCAACTTCCTGCATTCTTTAGTTTCTGGCGCAACCTACGCGTGTCTGGCGTTACAGCAGGAAGAAACTGCGATTCCGTCGTGTCGGTTTTACGAAAGAAATTTAACCAGGAGATCGTTAAGGTATAACGACAGCATAACAAGATCGATCAATGAGCTCGTGAACGAAAGAATCGAGGAAGAGAAAGAGAATGGACGATATACAGTGGCTCTCGGAAGTATTTGAACACTTTTAAAAACCTTTTACAAATATATTAAGCATGTTATAGGAAACATTTTGAAATGTCATTAACACCGTGGCAGAACACGATTTTCACGATTATATTGATTCGAGTTGGGACGAATCTGTAAATGTATATAGCGTTAATCAAACAGTTTCGTACAACACGATATATATTCGGAAAAATTGTGGTTGGCGTTCAAATTGGTAAAGTACTGTACTCTACCGCTCAAAAGTATTCAGATACTTGATTATTTTTAATATACAGTATCTATATGCTTTAATTATAAATTTATAGAATCGAGCTACGATGATTTTATTTGTTATAATTACCACGGCTACGTGCAATAGCGTATCATAAACCGACCAAATTGATTTCTGCAAGTGAATACGCAGTAATATGATTGACGCTTGTGATCGTCGAATCTTTCTATTACGATATCGAATGTATGAGTTCCTAGAATCCAATGTTTCCAGCGAAGTCTATAATAATTTACCGCCCGGTGACTCCATAAGCGAGCAATGAGTGTTGCTTCTAATTACTCTGATTCAGTATTAACCGGTTGTATTCGGCATATTTTTCATTTCCTTATTTCTTTTTTCGTACAACGCGAAGACGAAACTTCAAGGAGATGATCTTTGAAAACTTCAAGGAAATGATCGTATCTTTAAAAAGCTCGGACCTGGTGTAATTTTCTGCTATATAACCATCGGTAATCTCTTTTTGCCCCCCTAGAGGAAACATGCGAGTTGTTCGCTAGATTTACGATGTCCGCTCAGATGTCCGGACAGCAGAGTGTAAAGGGTTAATTTGTATACTTCAATAAAATTAGTAAGTAGATAGAGTAAAAAGTGTCCTGATACTTATGAGCGATATTGTGTACGCACCGACTCATTTGTAATATCGCGCAGCTTCGAAGAAAAGCTTTTGAAAAGAGAAAAATAGAGTCCATTACATGTGTAATTACACTTGGTGGGAGAGATACAACGAAGTTGTAAATTAAAATAACAATTAGCAACATAGATTGATGTATCTAGTGTCTATGTTCAATGTCAATATGCACCTCGTAGATGGATTTTGAATCTCAAACCGTGGAAGTCATTGGCGAATCGATTCGTATTCAATTTTTCTATAATATCCGGATCGCGTGAAAAATAGCGAACTGTGCGTGTCTAGAAATTGCTTCTCAGATTACACTACGCATTATTTGTTACTTTCATCGCAATCTTCCCGACATTCTTGACCAAATTATAATCTTCTAACGTTAAAAATATCTCACGTTTGAACAATGATACGCGCGATGTCTTCTGTAATGTTATGTCAAATATGCTTTTTATCATCTTGCTGTATCTCTTTCATCAACAATACGTACCTGTTATCACTTAAGCACGCAATCAAAGCAACCGTTCGATCGAACCACAAATAAAATATGAAAAGAACGAAGAAAAAAAGAAAAAGAAAAAAATAAAGACCGCAACGGTCAAGGGGGAAACATTTGATCAAAAGAGCCTCGCGTTCGTGTAAGCCAAGCCATAGATGAAAACTCGTTAGGGGAAGTAGAGGAATAGCAAACAGAACGTCTCTTTTTATATCTTTGCATCAAATTCAGCGAACCACGAATTCTTTCTGGGGACTCGGAATAAGTAACTTAGCGCGTGTCTTATTCGCGACGTGTTTCTTCTCTGCTCTATATCTAACTGTGCTTTTAGCATAATACATTTGTACATGGTCTACGTGGTATAAACAGATACACACAGCATACACACACGATGAAAATATGTAGCGTCGATTTTTACTCGGAGCACGTAGAAACGCGTGTTATAAAGCGTCTAATTGTAATATATACGATAAAATATAGAACGCAAAATGAATTCTGTAGAGCAAAAATACTGATACACGTCTATACACGTACATACACTCGATACGATAACTGCGTATTGTTCGACGTAAGTTTTTCTCGTAGTTTCTCGATCGTGTTAGTCACTAAAGTTAATTATCTGTCCTAAGTAACCGACCAAAACGGACTAACGTTATCTTCCGGAAAGCTATGGTAAGGCGATTGCGCGGTTCAACTATATTTCGTTGAAAATATATTCGAAACGAGACGAGAAAATGGTTCAAATATCTGTAGCTCCTCTAAAGTCAGACTAAATTCTTTACACTTTAACAATGGTAAAAAGATTTGCCATCCCTAAAAAGAAAAAAGAGTAAGGATCAAACTTTGCGTTAGCAGTTCTTAAAACGGGAACGTAGGGTTAGTTGCTTATCGGGTTGAACTACGTAACTTCTTCCTTAAAAGAAAGGAAATAAGGGAAAGAACATATCAGTATCACGGTCGTCGATACGAAAAATCTGATATTCTCTTTTTAAAAGTTTCTAAAAATAGACGGTTGAACAGAACATATTTTTCTCCTGTTTTCTATCTGTTCTTAGTTTTTCGGAAAAACGTACCATTCACCTAGATAGTACAATAAAAAGTAGAAGTTCCTTGCAAACGTGCTGAGAGGCGGGACTGTTTTTAATTAGAAAGCGCGCATTCTAATTAACCGAAGTAGCCAGGTTACGAATCTAACAGTAGGTGTTAGTTAAACGAATCGAGTAAATTGAATTGATTGGACCGACAGGCGGTATTTATCAGATTTTTCAAATACGCGTTTCTGTCACGATAAATAGTGGTAATTGTTCGATCGACGATAAAATTGGTTCGACACGAAAATGATACCTTAGACACGAAAAGAAAGTACGCAGAAATGTAAGAAGTGCAGGAAGCTTTAAAAATACAGTAACTACGAGATAAAGGATGAAAGAAAAAAGTAAAGAAAGAGGAAGAATGTATATGCGAATACTAACGTGTTTTCCCGTGTCGTAAAAAAGATCGTTCGTTTTCAGCCTGATATAATATCTCTCGTCGAAGTAGACTATATGCAGTTTTTCTTTTTTTTTTTTCTTTTTTAAGAAGAATAAAAATAAGCTTTCGAAGATACGTAGCCATGATCTCGAATTAAACTCAATCGACGTACAGTATCGTGTAATATTCGTTTATCGCGAGCAAAAGTTTCGAAGATGCCGATGAGTTCAATATAAAGGAAGAACGAAGGAAAAGAAATGGATTACGTACTATCTAAGCATGCGACTGAATAATCAACCTGAAATTATTGCAATATTGCGTAACATTGTAGAAGATAATAGTCAACGATTGTATAAAGAGTACGACATTTATGAGCAATGTTATATGAGTATGTGTATATATATACATATATATATATATAAAAGTACCTACTACATATATATGCGTATACTTGTAATAATTGATAAAACCAGGGTAAACATTAACTATTATCTATGTGTAATATTTAAAGAGCGCCTGGTGCGCAATCCGCGCACAGCTGCTCCGTATGTCTCTGTAATAATTATGCGTGTTTGCATTTATGAAATAGAAGAGGAAAAGAAAATGTATATTATATGATACTAATATTAATATTAATATTAACGACGATAGATATGCCCGACGACACATCTTATTGTAAATAACGGTAATAAGAACTAATCGCACGGTTCTCAATTCGTTTAACACGTTGCCCCTGTTCGTGTAAACGCGTTGAGAATCCGCGGTACTTTAAATTTTGAGAGAACGGCGAACAAAATAAATGAGACGAAGCGGCGCTGCGTGTAAACGTGGAAGGAAAAGTCAAGAGAAGAAAAGAAAAAAACAAGTAACTAAGTAGACTGTCGTAGGTTTATTACTCGTTATTATTGCTCCTGCCTATTCGCAAACTTTGACTGTAATTATCTCGTAAACACGTTGGACCAAGTCGTTGTGAGCACTAGCTGTAAATTGTAGAACGTCGTTCCGACGGTTTTATGATCGTCGAAAGGCTTTGAGTTTAAACGCTCGAACAGAAATTCTAGTAGCTTGTATCGCGTATACCAATTGTCCAAGCGAAGAAAACCGATTTGATAAAAAGTGTCTATCGTTTTACAGTATTAAAACAAGTCATTAAGTGCACGGCATATATCGTAATTATTGCGCCTATATCACCGTAATCCAATAAACGTTCCTTGCACAGATTTTCTATACAAAAGTATTCTGAGATTTGGATCAACTTTAAAAAATCCACATGATACATAAGTCAACTCGTGCGAAGATATTTGCGCTTAGATATTGAATTAATTTATACCAAACAGTTAGCGATCGCGTCAACAGCCATCGAGTATCGTATATCGATTTTATTTTTTAATAATTGAACAGATCCAAAGAGAATTGGACGAGAGTAGACGAGAGTACAAGCTACGAGAGATGCTTCACTTCTGTCTAAAGAGGAGTCAAGCTCTGCTCGAACTTTTTTGTATTTTGTACACGCGACGCTCACATCGACAAGGCTTGCAAAACGGAAGACTTCGTAGACCTCGAAATATTTGCTAAATTTTACTATCGTGTTATCTCTTGCGAATCGCTTGATGGACTTTTACAAGATTATCGTGTTGGTATCTTTCGAAAAAGTTGAGGAAAAGATAAAGAGGAACACCTTTAACTTGCAATTAGATTGAAACGCGAAATTACGACCTATTGTTGGTAGAAAGAATGAACGAAAGTAGCGAAAGTAGCTTTTCAACACACTCTTCGTTTCTTTTCGATAATGGCACCAACGAAGATCACGTAAACCGTCTTCGTGTGGTGAAGAAAAAAAGTCGAAATCTATCAAAGTCCCGATAAACAATTGGAAAGTTATTCGTCAATACATCAATGTTGCATTATTTGTGTAATAACGTTAAACGGCAAGCAAATTACTACTATCACGAAATATATTGATAGACCGATGATAATAATGTAACGATACTACTACAAAGTGAATGTTGCCTTTTATCACATTGGTTAATCGTAAACAAAGGAGAAAAAACTTAATTAATTACATACAATTATATTAACGACGACTAATAACTATAAATACTATCTATTGTATTATGAGTACTAATAACAATTGCTATGTACACATGGAGGTTCGTATGATTGTAAATGATATGTGTTGCGTTGATATGTAACGCGTCCCTATGTTAAAATGGGGACTGTGAAAATAAATCAACCAGACACTTTGTTGGCCTTCTATATTGCCCTGACACACAGGAATATTATATATACTTGATATGAGTCGACTGAAATGTTTTTAATAAACACTAGTGCCTCAAATGTGACAAATTTTAGTTATTTTCATTTATTTTTCGTTCATAGGTATAGTATAAATACTACATCTACTTGCACGAAGACGGAATTAACGTCCAACAAACATATACGAACTGTACCGCTCCATTCTATCAGTCAGTATTTACTGGAACAAATAAGTATACCGACAACGTCGACAGTTCATTTTAAAATACAGATGCGTCCAAATCCATTATAATCGAATAAATGGCAACATTATTAGCCAGAATTATTACGCGAATCATTCCCGGTTGCTATCGTGTGTATGGTCGCTTCCATGTGTTCTATGGGAAATGGCTTTGATGGTGCATGAAAAAAATATCGCATAAATCCTGTTGCCAGTAGAAGGTGCATTCCAAGAATTATCACAATATACATTATCCTATATCTTCCTGAAAGTTAATTTACTTTATCTACGTATTCTTATGGTTTTAAAAATGTGTATGTTTTTATATGTAATACCTGATATTAGGGGGAGTAAAGATCTCAATAATACTCCTCCAGATAAAAAGGTCGCTAGTGCAACTAAACTCCATTGTAACCATTCAAATTGAATTGTCCATAGAAAAGCTACTGGAATATAAATGGCTAAAGAGTACCCATAAAGACATAAAAGTTCCAAAAGGCCAGGTGTTGCGTAAGACTAAAACAAAGATGTCCCTTGAATGTTATTATTATGTAGTGTCTCTTAGGAAAGATAAATGGGCAAAGTCAAACCTCGATTAATTCCTCCTCTGTATTTCTTGAACTGGTGGTCCACTTCATTGCACCCCATAACGTAAGTGGTAATAGCCATGCGTACAAAAATATACAGGTGGCAGCATAAGACACAATATGAAATTCATACCTCCAGTGATATTTGCCTGAATTAGCTGTATGTAAATAATCAGCCAGATTACCACTAATGGCTATAGAAAATATTAGTGTAACGCATATCCAAAATGGACCATAAAGATCTGGATTTGGTCTAATATGAGATATCAAATAATTATCACTGCCATGTGGAAACATAGACCTTTTGATTCTTTCTACCACGTCATCTGTCTTTACGTTGAAGAATTTCTGGTAATATTCTATTGTCCAAAAGCTATGCGATGCTGCTAAAATGGAAGCGATACAGTGTTCTAAAGAAGTGCATAGACTGAAATTGATGTAACAGATGTAACATAATATCTTAAATTATAATATTCGCGTTTACCACAGGAATAACAACAATCGTTATAAAGTTATTTGAAACTAAATAAAAGATCGCATAAATATAAACCTTCACTTTTATCGGGCATTCCTTGAAGATCTTCGATAATACCAATTCCCGTAGGATCGTTTGAGAGGTTATTAAAACCTTGATGACTGGAAGTATTGACATCCAGTTGTGCTTGACCAATATTTCCTTCATGATTTATTGAAGGAAAATCTTGAAACGAAATGAACTGTGAATCGCTTGTTTTAGATTGACTTCCATCCATAGCTGTTTATTTTGTAATTTTGTCCATCCGTTTGACAGAAGTGACGCATAGACATTGCCAGAGATGAGTACGTGGGAAGATCGCCGATGCAATGTTAAATAAATCAACCAAAAAATGCGCACAAAGAATAACGGTCTTTAACGGCTAACAGACGAACTACACGCACATTTCTTCTCCAGTACTCTTGGTGGGAGAAGAGAGGGGAAATGTGTATTTGTATCGGCGCGGTAACAGCGTGTTTTCTATAATGGTAGACAAAATCATTTTCTATCGAGACTCTACCTCTTTAATTATACATTCTCGAAAATATAAATTAGCATCAAAATCCGCAGTCTAATCGTGATTATTTATCTCTACATTTAATAATTTACACTGTAATGAAATTCATATTGTAATATTTTAATAAAAAAATAATATTAAAAGAATATAATAAATTAAAGAGATATTTCAACACATACATATAGCTGCTTTTACAGAAATGCTTTTGTAGTATTATATTATCCGGTTAATATACCTTTAACAAATGAATCAGATAAAGACAATGTCAATCTATTTCAACTATTAATGAAGGTTTTCCTAAATATAGTATTTTACTCACTATATTTTTTTGTTTTTATTATTTCAGTATTGTTTCAAAGTTTAGTTAAATATTAGAAATAATTTGTTTTTTTTTGTATTGATTACAGAAAAACCACTCTGACGGCAGAAACAACAAACATGATACTGCAAGCAACCAGCAGAAACAACAAACATGATACTGCAAGCAACCAGCAGCAACAATCTTCTTGGAAATGATTATATCATATAATAAAAAATAAAGTCATTTATTGTAATTTATCTCTGGTGCTATTTTATGTTCCTAATAAACTTAATCCAATACCAATACTTACCTATACTTACCAGTTTTGTCGGAGTCTCTCGTCATTTTTTATAACTTAACCGTATGGGAACTGTAAAGGATTTGGGGATTATGGATGTTGGAAGGATTTTAAATGACTAAACGTTTTGTTGATTTACAAAATAAAATTGTTTTTTTCAATTCAATTTGCCATTTTACAATAATTGTACAATTGTACGAGTTCATCAATCTCTGTATAACTATTCGTGTAATTGTGTAATTTTATAATAATTTGACTTCGTGGCTCGACCAATGAAAGTACGACAAATCTTCTGATGCAAAAATAAGGATTAAAATCTTATAAGTGCTTGCGGTACGGAATTTTGTCGGAGTTTTCAAAATGCCACTAATTGTGAAGAGCTGCTTTCGGCTAACTGAGTACTGTCCGGTCTGAAGATGCCTTTCCCCTCTTTTCATGCATATTCGTTCGTTTTTCCCACCAAAAGCATCTGAGGAAGAAATGTGTGGATAGTTCAGCTGTTTGATCACTAGAGGCGGTAATTCGTGCAGCGAACTTTTTCCTGAATTTTTCTCATGCTCATTGGCGATCTCTCAACACATCTCTGATATTGTAAAGAGGAATATGTATGCACATACATATATGTATACATCTCTTTATTTGATTCTTCTCGTCATTTGACGTTATCAATGACGTTATTTATTAGTATATTTTTGAATAGTTTCATTTTACATGATACACGTCATTAGATAAAAGATAGTTAGATAGATGTGCAGGTATTAATAAAAACGCATATAAGTTATATGTATGAATTTATATAATTGTAAATCCCATACAATTTTTATTAATATAACATATATAAGATAACATCTATACAGAATCGTATAAAAATCATACTTTTTATAATTAAACAAAATAACAAAAATTTAATTTTGTAGTTAAGGCAATGGTGAATAAATTAATAAAATGATTAATACTCTCGTGATGTATTAGCCTTAAAATAGTTACATAGAGGTATATATTTGCACTAGATCCAATTTTTAATTTTAATGTAATTAATGTTATTATCATGCAAGAGTTTATATATTGAAATAGATTTAAAAAGTTTGTCATCTATAAACATGTATTACTACATAAAAATACGATCTTTCTTGTAATAATCATCGGTTACATAGGTATTTTATTATCCTTGCCGAATTAGACAGTAACTGATTATCGTTTTGACAGTTTGAAGAGAACTTACTATAACGTTCTGCTAAGATCAATTTGGTACCGAACAATATCTTTTCGTATAATATTACTAACAATGTATTCCATTGTATAAAATAAGTGAATGTGAAAGAAGGTAAAGAAAAATATACTGAAATATGTTTTGTTTTTTAAGCGCGTATAACTTTTTAAAATGTATTCAAATTGTAATATTTCCATTTCTACGTTTTATAAAAGAAAATCATTTTTCAAAATAGAATGTTTACGAAAAGAATTGCTATTCATCAAAATACTTAAGTGTTATTTATTTTTGTACAGGTTAGACGGCTCAGCTTGTTTTACAATACTTATTACTGGTCCAATATTAAAAACATGTTACAACGTGTGCCTAATCTTTTGAAAGTTCTTCATAATATTAGCCATTACAATAAAGAATGTTTATACATGTTTCAAATAGGATATGCAAGGAGACATATTAATACTTTGATAACATATAATTACAATACCAGATACAAGGTGCAAGTTGTTGCGAATCCTCAAAAGATTTTTACTGCAAATAATGTAAAACATCTGCAAGAATGGAGATGGATTCTTATTACAATTTCCAAGCCAATATCTGTTATAGCAAAAGTACAAAAAGAAGAAACAGTAGACTCCAGTAAAAGTACACAAAACAATGTACAAAGAATCATAGAATTAAAACAAGAAAATTTAGGGCAATTAAAAGAAAGGAACTTAGATGTTAAACCTGATGATAACCAGACTAAAGAAGAGCAACAAAATTTGAAGACAGAAGGTACAAAAGGAAACATAGTCAGAAAAGTATAGTAAAAAGCTTTCTTATTGATTTTTAATTCTATTTTTTATTTTCATTAATTTTCATCATTGTTATTATTTCTTGTATTCACATGTCTTTTATTTACAGTTAAAAAGAAGAAAACGGATAAAAGAGTATCATCATTAGAACGTAATTTTATTACACCAGTTAGAGCTATGTCAGATTTTTTATTGAAACCGTCCGATCTTGAAAACTTACCAAAGACAAAAAGAAGATCACCTTATGAGTTTGAACCTCCAATTACTGTTTTTTGGAGAAAAGATGTAGAAGCAAAGTAATACTACACATTTTAACGATGAAATCTGATGAGATGACTATTGTAATAAAAAATAGATGATTATGTTTAACATACTGTGTTTATTTGTAGAGCGATAGAAGTCTGGGGATCACGGGAAATCTTAGCAAAAGAACTTCTTAAGAAGGAACTTCAACAGAAAACGTATCAGCAAAGTAAGTCTCCGCTTTATCTACACATAATTTAAAATGAATTTCCTTAAATGTATTTAGAATAGAGTTAGAAAACATTTTATTTGATAAGTTGATTAGTTTCATTTTCTTCTGGACATTTTTCCATTTTACAGGATCATTGTCACTACTTTTATTAACATATTCTTTTTGGAGGACTGATATAAATCTTTTAATTTAAATGTTTTATGATTTCATAGATATATTTACTGTTAAACGAAGATTAAGAGATTATAGACGAGAAATTGGTAGCAAAACACAAACAATAGATCAAGAAGGTCTTTTTGGAAGATCTGGCAAAGTAGTTTTAACTGCCATTGTAATGTAAGTCCTATCTTTTTATTTTTATTTAAAAATACTTCATTATTAGTATAATACATTTATCTTTCTTTCTTTTAGCAATGGTTGCAATTTTTTATGTAAGCTGTGTGCGTGGTTGTATACTGGTTCGCATAGTATGTTTTCAGAATGTATTCACTCTGCTGCAGATACTTTTAATCAATTGATATTAGCATATGGTATACATAAATCAGTACAAGTATGCATAAAATTATGTCATGTGAAATTAAGATAAATCTTGTTTTATATCTCTATATACATTTTTAATATTTTAGACTCCTAATCCTGATCATCCATATGGCTATACAAATATGAGATATGTATCTTCTTTAATATCTGGAGTTGGTATCTTTTGTGTTGGAACTGGTCTATCTATATATCACGGAATCCACGGCCTTCTGAATCCTTCGACAATAGAATCGTTTTATTGGGCATATTTTATCCTGGTTGGCTCTATGGTATCAGAAGGAGCAACTTTGTTAGTAGCAATACAATCAATAAAAAAAGGTGCAGCAGAAAAACGACAAACATTTAAGGACTATGTATTAGGAGGACAAGATCCTTCTGTAAACGTCGTACTTATGGAAGATTGTGCAGCTGTAAGTATTTATTAGACAAAAAAAAAAAGGATAGGAACAATCGCAGTTATTAAACATGAGATGTTCTTTTGAATATGATAGGTGCTTGGTCTTGTATGTGCAGCTACATGTATGGGTTTAACATCCTATTTGGAAAACCCCATGTTTGATGCCATTGGATCTCTTTTAGTTGGCGGTCTACTTGGCAGTATAGCTGGGTTTATAATACATACAAATGCCACAGCTTTAATTGGAAGAAGTATATCTCAAGAAGATCTAGATAAAATCAATGCGGAATTAGAAGCAGATATAATGGTAATATTTTTATGATTGTATCGTTATAAATAAATAAATATATATATATATATATATATATATATATATATACATACATTTATTTAAGTTAATTGAATTCGAAATAATCAGGTGCGAGCAATCTATGATGTCAAGGGTATCGATATGGGTAACGACTTAGTTCGGTACAAGGCTGAATTAGACTTTGACGGCAGGGAATTAACAAGGTCTTATTTGGAGAAGCACGATCTTGTTCAAATGCTAAAGGTACTAGCTTAATGTCCACAAAGTATTACATTAATTTTCAAATTATTCTATTCCTTAGGAAGTAACAGGAATGACAGACATAAAAGAATTGGAAGCATTTATGCTAAAGCATGGCGAAGCTATTGTTGATACGCTTGGTGGAGAGATAGACAGAATGGAACTAAATCTAAAGGTATACCAAGAACATTTTATATATGAATTTCTAACTATTTGACACTATGATTTAACTTTTTTCTTTAATACTTGTAGAAAAAGCATCCCGAGATTCGACATTGTGACCTGGAGATCTTATAAGTATTTATGTACAATACGGCTACTAATAAGCGATATACATTGTGATGTAAATAATGTTTCATAGCAATGCTTGCGCTATCCTATTTGCTGTATTCTATTTACATATTATTTATATACAAATAGTGCTCATGTCATTCTTTATATTAGAAGAGAAATAAGCTAAATAAATTTGAATTTCTTATTTATAATTGTGCCGTACTTTTAATTTATTTTTTAATCTTTTCACATTTAACGTGCACGTTATGGGCGTCGCATATTGTCCTGAATTATCGATTTTTTCCAAGTATCTCTCACAGTGTACAACAAACGGTTACTATGGATACTTTCCTCTATGAAGTTCCGGGTATGAAACTGTTCTCGTTTCCAGTGAGATAGGTACGTTTAAATATGACGTATTCTAACCGCGATATTAGAAAGATTGAACATTTTTACGCCATTGGAGAATCGGTAAAATGAACCGGACGAACGAAAGAGTTTTGAAACGACGGAGCAATCCGGAAGTTTCACGTAGAAACGACTCGAGTAGCAGCGAGGAATCTTCGTCGGTTACCGAGAGCACCGAGTATTCACCATATGTGCAAAACACCAGCACGCCTCTTAGACCTAGATGGACAAATTCCGAAGAGACCAATAGGTTTCGACGAGGACAAGGAGATATCGACGATGCAGAAGAGGTGTCATCTGACAAAAAGGGATCGAAAAAGTTTCAGAGACGCAAAGAGCATGTTGATCGAAAAAGGTATCAGGACAATCGTGAAAGAATCGTTGAAAAGCAGAGAGGAGGACACGACCGACGTAATAAACGAAGACACGATAGACGTTCTGAAGACGCTGCTAATAAAAGACGAAAGGAAACATCCAGTTCAGAGTCATCGGACAAAAGTTATAATGAAAGCGACTTGGAACAGTCGAAACGAAAAAGACGAGATTTAGTAGGTAAAATTGCTTATGTTGAGAATGCTTTAACTCTTTGACTGCGTGATAAAATGATACAGTATGAAAATAATTAAATCTTTAACTTTTTATAGAAAAAAATATTAATAATCGTGTTATGTATAACGACATTTAAGATGTTTCACGTCCAAGTCAAACGGTTAATAACTTTAAATACGAAAATATTAAATTAGACAGATGACTTTGGTTTGCTTTGCAGGGGATAATGAATTGCCTATTACGGAAATCTTAAGGAGGTCGCAAGAAAATGCGCGAACCAAATATGAGCATCAGGTGCCACTCCCTGTATTAACCACGGATAAAGTTTACGTACAGCACAGGGGTGGTTTTAGTACAATGAAAATTAACCAAACAAAAGGTTTTCCTAGTGACAAGAAAACTGAAAGGGCAAGTAGCGTTGATATTCATGACGAAGACAATTCTCCGCCTATAAAGGTGGCCATTATGCTTCAACAATTTTGGAAAAATACAGGTCTTTTGTATCAAGGCCTTCTAGGCGGTATGGCGCTTACTCATTTCATCATGGTATGTTTCCATTACTTTATAAAAGAAAATCTTTCCATCATTGTGTTTTATCTTCTATCTAACCTCTTCTTTTTTCAGTTGCACGTATTTTTTAATAATTCTATAGAATTCATCGCAAAATACTCACCATTTTGTGAGATTTATACAAACATCTTTTCGTTTCTTATTGCCATGTGCATCGTTTCAACGTTCGATAAGTATGTTTACTTTGTATTAAAAAATTAAAAATCGTCGAATATCGTCTCCCAGAATTTTTTAATCTTCATAATCGTTAGGTTTGATTTGGCACGATTCGACGTGGAACATCTGCGTGAGCTTTATTTCGACCATAACAAAGCAATTATCGCAGTTCCTTTGTATCTCGTCGTTTTCTGTCTTCATCAAATCGGCGCAGAAACCGATGATCAATTAAATTTGATACATTATTACAATTCCAATCATACCGTATGGCAAAACGTAAGCAGAAGATTACACATTTACCTACAAAGCACACAAAAAATATATTTTTATATTAAAGAAATTTTATTTTAGGTCACTAATGTTCAGTCCCTTCTGGACGACTTAAATAGTTGGCAGAGGATATCCATGTCGAAAGATTTACTTGCAGTGTTTGCCTGGTTGTTTGTTTCCCTTGGTACTAAAGATGATTCGTTCTTGACTTACCTACAGTCGATGGAGAAGTACGCGGACGATATCGAGTCCTCCAGACGGTAAATGAATCAAAGTTTCTTCGGAAAAGAAGAAACTTCTCTTAATTTGGAATATCATATTTGGCTGAGGAACTGTGGCGTGTGCGATTTCAATATTTATTCGTAACAGAATAGGGTCTGATATGTACAATATTTATAAAGTTCTAAATTCTAACAGACAGTACACGTACATGTAATACCAATGAAGACAATAACATTGAGAATAAAATAACATATGGCGCGATCGTGTTGTAATAATAAAATATGTTCTTAGATTTTGTCTTGAGCGCGGCATTAAGTTGAATCAACGATTGCGCAAATAAATTTTACAAGTTTTTAAATAAATAAAAATAAGGGGGAAATAGGAAGAAGTATTAAAGAAAGATAAATTATGCACGCAAAGTGCATTGCAATTTGTTTAGAAAGAGAGAGAGAGAGAGAATATTCTCACATACAATCGTCGATACAACGCGTGCTCTCGTTGCACGACAAACTTTGCTATAAATAATGTGCGAAGGCTCGTATTGATTTGCGAAGCAACAGATAGATAGATATATATACATATATATATTATATTATATTACAATATAATACATATATATATATACGCATCATATATGAATAAATACTGTACGTACATTTACAAATCGCTAGCGGTTTTCTCTGCACGAATTTACATCGGCGATAATTTAAAATATCTCTGAACTTAAACGCTAACTCATCAAGGCACTGTTTACAGTTCTGTCCGAGCTTATGGATTCGTCGAATTTCACGTCGTTCCCTCGTTCGAAATGGTCGATACTTACACGTCCTCCATCTTTCCGCTGAGGTAAACGATCTTTAAGGTCCTTCGTCGAATAAATTAAGGGACAAAATCGTTTTTACGTTATAAGAAAACTCGAGGAACGCAATCGACTTTCATAGAATAGGAGGAGAACGATCGTTTCGCGATCGCTCGAACAATCGGTTCTCTCGTTTCTCGGTACCCTTTTTTTCTGTTTTTATTTTTGGTGAAAAAGCAGGACGATCGAATGGTCCGGTTAATCGACAAATGGGGACTTGCTTTGGCCCCGAGGAACAGCGCCGTGTTTCGATCGCTACCACTGGAACACGTCGTTGTGACTTTTTACTAGCTAAAGAACGCTAAACTCCCTTCTCGTACGTGTAACTTGTGTATATACCTTTAGAAACATTTGTGCGGATTCGTTACGGCAGTATTCGAAGAGACAGCGTGATTTGTACGAGCGGAAGAACGTTCGCCGACAGTGAAACCAAGTACGTTCGACGTAGCCAGAGATCACTTGTCGCGAGTGAACGGGGCATCGTGATCGATGCTGTCCCGTTACAAAAAGAAGAACGCCTCCCCGTTCTTCCTTGAGAAAGAGAAACGGCGTACAAAAAGTTTCGGATTCGAGCACACGAGTTGCTCACGACGAAGAACAAACACGCTTTGAAATAGGCATTCGTTAAAACATTTTTTTCTAAAATTGTCATGGTTCTTTTATATGGAAAATGCACGTGGTATGACCCCGGCCAATAGTCGTGAATTAATTGAGATTCGTTTAGGCGAGGAGGAAGTCGGTGAACTCTAAAGACAAAGTTTTTCTTTTCATCCGCTTCCTCTCGTCCGATTAATTCGATCGAAATAGGATTCCTCGTGGAGGTGAATCGGTCAACGAATGGAAGCGAGGATTTCGCGACCGTTTCGTTATCGAATATCGGTAACTCAGTGTTGCTCCTCTTTTTATTCCTCTTCTTTCCATTGAATTCCGCGTTGCACGGGACGTATAAAAGAAAGAGAAAGAGTTTCGTCTTTGAAGATTTCCGTGGCGAGGGAGATCGTCACGGTGACCCAAACGCCACGCACCGTTTACTCCATTTTTCCTCGTTTCTTTCCTTTTCGAGTCTCTTTGTACGTAATCTCCCCTTGGGAGAGGGATAGAATAGGACAGAAATTCCAAGAGTCCGTCTCTTCGAGAGGCTGGGAGGATTTCAGCGTCAGAAACGGAGGAAATCCTGAATGGCGAACGTCGGAAGAAGGATCTCCTCTTTTCAACGACCGCTCCTCTTCTTTCTTTTCCGGTACGATGATCAAACGGTTCCATCACCGTTCTGCATGTATCTGCACCAGGAACGGCCGTTGTTGTTGCTCTCGCGGATTTGCAGCAATTCTCAGTCGTCGAAATCGTGTCTGAGCTTTATATACAGGCACGAGCCAAGAACGATGCCGAAAAGCTCTAGGACCGATAGTCCTAGACCTACTGCTCCTAAGATGATCAAGTGGTCCTTCGTCGTCTCCAGAAATTTGTAGATACAACCCTGTACAAAATTTTCAGATTCAATGATTTGATCGTTGCATTGTTTTGACACAGATCGATTTTTATATTATTGTGCAATGAAATTGTATTAAAGAAATTACGATAACGATGTATTGTCTTTACACGTTGAACGTTTTGCATATCACCCATTTATGAGTGATGAGTTTCTCCATTTACGTATGTAAAATTTTGCAAATAATTCGCAAGAATTGATTTTTCAACTACAATTAAAAACAACTAATGCTTCCAACTTTGTCGTTTAATCTTTTACACTGGGAAAATGTTGGAAGATTTCTTTCTACGAACTCGACAAATATTCGATTTATAGTAGGCGTTCAACATGTTACAGCTCATATCTTTGTAGCTCTTGAAGACCGAAGCTGGACTGAAAAAGCGTGTGCTTCAACAAGGAAGGAACAATTGGATTCGACTGAAAATCGATTGGTACCGTGTAATGGATGTTCGACGGATGATCCCTCCTTCCACAAAGGTGGGTCGGTGTCTTGCAACAGCTATCTGGGACGAGGCTTCCGTCCTTGAGAACATCCTCGCCTTTGTGCCATTCGCTCACCAGCCAATCCTCGAATCTCACGGCTCCGCAGCATTTGAACTGCAACAATGATTTACAAATAAAGTAACTGTAAATATAAATACCACTTAGTATTTATCGTGAAAAGTACATTAAACTTATTCCCATTTACGTGTATTTTCAAGTTTAATCCTCAGTTAAACCCAGACGACGAAGGTTAGATCGATTCTGACTCGTATAGACGTTTCACGTTTGCTGTTACACTTCGTAATTTCTATTTACTTATTATTATTCTATTTTTTAAATTAATTAAGTCATCCTACACACCGAAAAGAAAAAGATATTATTTTTAATAAAGTTTCAGCGTGATACATTATCAACTGTGAATTACGTGCACTTTTTAGCACCTTCGTGTCGCTTAATAATTAACTCTTTCAAGTTTTGTGGCAAACATGCTGGGGCGTGGATTATAACGGTATAAATCACACCGCTGCTATTTTCCATAAAATAGCGTCTTTTACCTATTTTATAACAAGTTTATTATATCTTTTCAAGCTACGAGTACCTATCACCCGAAGCATGAACTTAACTAATTATAAAATTAAAGAGACGATACCTTTAAGAGTTGTAATGTTAAAAACGAATTCTCGAAACAAAAAGTCGCGTATAATAATTATCTTGAAATCTTTGAACGTGTAAGAAGCCCCCATCGCGTGACTGTTAAACGAAAGAGCATTCCTTCGAAAGAGTATTTCTCTTCCACTGTCGAAAGTAAAAACCATGAACATCAACAACAACGGTTCGGTCGATCTTAAGACGAACGTCGAGTTTTCTCTCGCGGGGCAGCTACGATGGGAGAGAAGAAAATCGGATCGATGCAAGGAGCCGCGGCTGCATTAATAGATTCGCAGAGGACGAACTCGAGGCCATTTCGCCACACGATAACGATGATTTGCAGTCGTAAACGTAGCGAAGTAACAGTGGCACCGGTAGTCAGGGTATAGAGAAAAATGGCTAGGCGATATCGCGGCCACGTAAGGCAGCCCTTAGCCATTTCGCGTATTACAAAACTTAACGACATCCTACATTGCGTTAAGAGATAGTGACGAAGAAAGATGAAAAGAAAGGCAAAGGGAGGAGAAAAATCGCTTTAGCAAACTAACCGTACCATAAACAGATATCCTTGTCAAGTACTTAATATATTCGGAATGTCGGTGATCTAAACGTTAAGTATAGCGGCATCTCTTCACAGTGAGTGAAGATTCAGCGTCTGGATCATTTGTAGAGATTTGCAGTAGCGTGCAAAAAGCTTAGGTCATTTACGACTGCGATCTCATAATGGCAACTAATTATATATTCAGGAGATATCATTCTATGTGCATGATGCTACAAAGAAACAAATCTTTATATAAATTTTGTTCTTCTTATAGGAAAAAGTTTTACGTAACGGTTCTTCTTTATAAATATTCCTGGGATCTCTTCGTGTTTTGTGTTTCTTAAAATTGTTAAATTTCTATAAACTAACGCGAATACAAGGTGGAAACGTCATGTTAACGCTAAATTTCCGAACGATCTATGCTTCTTCCGATCGCTTTGGACAGCCACTATGTCATCGGTAACTTACCTCTATCTGCATTTGGTCGATCGCCGAAGTTTCCCTGCTCCTCATAGAGTAGTTCTCGAGGAACGTACGATTAAGGTTCATCTTCAATTCAGGGCCAACTTGTTCCTCGTAGAGCCGCGCTAGAGCACCGACTCCCGCTTCCAGCACGAACACCAGCATCACCACGAACACGTACTGTAGGGAAAAGGAATACAAAATGAAGGGAATTGGAGAAATAGTTCAATTTATATAACAACGATACCTATCTATCTTCGTTCTCCGTAACGGCAACATGATTTTGATTGCAATCATAAAAAAATTACGACAGATCGTACAATTTATTTATCGTTACAAGCCAGACTGATCGGTTATGATAGTATTTAGAAATTTCTATGACAGTATTTGGTATCAGAGTAGCCGATCGATGTTCCATTAAAAAAAAAATTAAACAATTAGTTTGCACAGATAGCATCGATTAGTTGAACTTCTGTCTACAATTCATACTAAATAATTATCTATTTTATCGATGGACAAGTGCTTGTAACATTATGACAAATTATTTCTTAATCGATAGATTAAAGATGAGAAATTTCATACGTTCGCGATCTAACCCATTGAAAGTTAATTATTTTTAGAGAGCAAACGCTCTTAAGCATTGTCAACTCGCAGGCTTTCTAACGTAACGAACGAGGACCAGGATTAAACGCTTCCGTCAAAGATTTGCGTCCCTGAAACCAGCCCCCGTACCTCCCACGATGTCGACGATCTCGATTGCGATTATCCGCCGCTAACGACT